TGCAAGATAAATGAGGCAACTGTGGGATGTAGATTATTTTAAAAGCTGATACAATAGTCGGTCATATTACTAGAAACATAAAGTCCAGGTTAAGGGAGGATAGCAGTTAAAAACATCTGCGTTCAAATCCTACTTTTGATATTACTAGTTATGTGACCTGGGGCCAGTGTCTTAACTTTTTCCTGTCTCTGTAAAGTAGGGATAAGAGTACCTGTCTGCCAGGATTACAGCAAGGACTCAAGGAGATCTCAAGTAAAGGGCACAGGGCCTGGCCCTTGGGAAATGGGCCCTGTATTGCAATTCCACTGCTTGGGTCTATTTGGGAGCACTGTGTCCTTATTTCAGTGATGTCTTTATGAGAGGATTGTCCAGAGAAGGAGGAGATGGAAGGGGAGACCATGGAAGAAGGACAAGGGGCATGGAGTAAGGCTTGAGGGTCTGTAATGGGGTTGGGGGAAGGAGATGTTTTGGGAGGGAGGCATTTATGCTGCTTAAAAAACGTAACAGGCCAGGCGCGGTGGCTCACACCTGTAATTCCAACACTTTGGGAGACCGAGATCTCCTGAGGTCAGGAGTTTGAGACCAGCCTGGCCAACATGGCGAAACCCTGTCTCTACTAAAAATACAAAAATTAGCCGGGCGTGGTGGCAGGCTCCTGTAATCCCAGATATTCAGGAGGCTGAGGCATGAGAATCACTTGAACCCAGGAGGCGGAGGTTGCAGTGAGCCAAGATCGTGCCACTGCACTCCAACCTGGGTGACAGAGCAAGACTCTGTCTCCCCAAGACAAAACAAAACAAATAACAGAGAACCAACATGGAAGAGGGACCAGGAGGTAGAGTGATAGGAAGTCCCTGTGAGCAATTGGAACTAAGAAAGGCACAGGCAGACTCAGTACAGTGAGCTCACAGCCACAGGAGCCTGCAGGCCAATGCTGCATGAGAAATCTGTTGGGTGCCATAAAGCAGTGGTTTCCAACTGTGGCACTTACGTCCTGCATGGAATGTGACCTGATTTGGGGAACATGCAGATGAGCATTTGCAGGAATATTTATTTGTATATTTATGTGCATACTTGGCACATAGAGGCACACATGTCTGTACCCACATCTATGTATTAGAAAAAAGAGCCAGCATCTTAGGCCTGTGGTTACACAGACATAGGCAGTGATGTCAGGTCTGGGCCCGATTTAAACTAGGCAGCTATTATGCCAATAATAGTAGAGCTGGTTGTGGATGTGGTTGGAATAGTCAGGGTGGTCTTGAGGAGCCCAGCCTCAGAGGAACTTTCTGCTTGGGTTTGGAGACTGATGTCAGTAACATGGACTGGCTTTCCCGTGAGTGAGGACTCCACCCCAGGGCCCTCACTCTTATGTCACCAAGAGGGTGTCTGCAAAGTTACATTTTTAGCAAGCCAGTCTGAAGCTTCTGATGACCTCGATGCTGGAGTTTGTTGGGGTAAATGACCACAAAACCAAATGAACCTGCGCACCTAACATGCGTCTCCTGGACTCTTTCACTCTTGCTTTGTTTGTGTTTCTTTTCTTCACAGCACCTGCTGACGTGATATATATGTATTTGTGCATCATTTCAGGCCAGAGACTGTTTTGTCAGTAGATCTACTTCACATAGTGCTGGCATAAGGCACACACCCAGCAAGTGTTTGTTGAATGAATAAACGATGGAAGCAACTTTGATAAGACTTGCTCCAGGTGTTTGCGGACACCAGTTGCATGCCCATCTGTCTCTGCGAGGCTCCTGGAAGAGCATCTTGCAGCAACTGGACCAGGGCTCTGTGCTGTCAGGGTGGCGTTGGCTCCATCCTCTCGGCTCTGGGTTGCTCTCTATCCTGAGCTAGAACTGGAGTGGTCCTGGAGAGGAGCCTGGCCAGAAAAGAGCCATGTGGAAACCCTGTGAGGAAACCAAAAGAGGGACGATGGTCCTGGGGCATCCAGATGGTGGCATGGCAGTGAGGAGACACAGAGCCATAACTTGCCCACAAAAGCAGCCTGGCTTCTGACTCCGCAACTGTCACAGGCTCAAGGGAACGGCATTGTAACCAAAATGCAGATTCCGTTGCTCGCCACTTGCAGAGGCTAATTAACAAGAGTGTAAAGAAAGTGACTTTTTATTCCAAAGCTAGCATAGGGAAAGAAGTACAGGCTTCCTGCCTTAAGGGTTCCGCCTTGCCTTTGGAGCAGAAGAGGAGTGCTTTTAAAAGGGGCCCACAGAGGGGTGGAAGTGAGTGGGGGAGTGGGGGTGGTCCACATGCTACCTTGGTGCCTTATTTACTGGGACTCGAGTTGGCATCTTCATGGGCATACTTTGGGTCGTCAATCAACTGTTATCTATCGAGGCAACCTCCTGGTGGGTGAGAGTTTTGCTCTGGAGATTCTAAGCACATGGTTAGGTGAACTTGCCCTGTAGGCAGTGTGTGGTGAAGAGGAGGTAAAAGGCTATAATTGCATTTCTAAAGAGCTAAGTAGGAAGTGGAGAACAGGGAGAAATGGAGAAAAGAAGAGAAAAGAATAAAAAAATAGTAACTCCTTGTCTTTTTCCTGGAAAAATGGGGGCACTTGGTTACTTATCTCTAGAAGCAAGACTGGGTCAATTTAAAAAAAAAGATGAATGTAGGATTCTTTCATGCTTCCAAGTTGTTCTGTGTAACGCAGACACAGTCCGTAAAATGCAGGCGAGAGGTGTGTGAGCATGTGTGTGGCGTAGAAGCTGGGAGAAAGCCTGGGAGTCACCTCAGTGTCAAGGCCAGTGGCCGGTGGATCCCGTACCTGGGAATCATCTCCAGTCAAGTGGACGGTGGATCCCGTACCTGGGAATCATCTCCAGTCAAGTGGACGGTGGATCCCGTACCTGGGAATCATCTCCAGTCAAGTGGACGGTGGGTCACCTACCTGGGAATCTTCTCCAGTCAAGTGGACGGTGGATCCCGTACCTAGGAATCATCTCCAGTCAAGTGGACAGTGGATCCCGTACCTGGGAATCATCTCCAGTCAAGTGGACGGTGGATCCCGTACCTGGGAATCATCTCCAGTCAAGTGGACGGTGGATCCCGTACCTGGGAATCTTCTCCAGTCAAGTGGACGGTGGGTCACCTACCTGGGGATCTTCTCCAGTCAAGTGGACGGTGGGTCACCTACCTGGGGATCTTCTCCAGTCAAGTGGACGGTGGGTCACCTACCTGGGGATCTTCTCCAGTCAAGCGGACGGTGGGTCACCTACCTGGGAATCTTCTCCAGTCAAGTGGACGGTGGATCCCGTACCTGGGAATCATCTCCAGTCAAGTGGACGGTGGATCCCGTACCTGGGAATCTTCTCCAGTCAAGTGGACGGTGGGTCACTTACCTGGGGATCTTCTCCAGTCAAGTGGACGGTGGATCACTTACCTGGGACTCTTCTCCAGTCAAGTGGACGGTGAGTCACCTACCTGGGACTCTTCTCCAGTCAAGTGGACGGTGAGTCACCTACCTGGGGATCTTCTCCAGTCAAGTGGACGGTGGGTCACCTACCTGGGGATCTTCTCCAGTCAAGTGGACGGTGGGTCACCTACCTGGGAATCTTCTCCAGTCAAGTGGACGGTGGGTCACCTACCTGGGGATCTTCTCCAGTCAAGTGGACGGTGGGTCACCTACCTGGGGATCTTCTCCAGTCAAGTGGACGGTGGGTCACCTACCTGGGGATCTTCTCCAGTCAAGCGGACGGTGGGTCACCTACCTGGGAATCTTCTCCAGTCAAGTGGACGGTGGGTCACCTACCTGGGAATCTTCTCCAGTCAAGTGGACGGTGGGTCACTTACCTGGGAATCTTCTCCAATCAAGCATGTGGAATCCAATTCTAGTTGTCTTTAGCTGGTGATGGGAGTAGTGTGTGAGATTCTTACGGGCTGAATTGCATGCCCTCAAAATTCAGATGTGGCGTACCCAAGGGCGTATTTGGAGATGGGATCTTTAAACAGGTAATTAAATTCAAATGAGGTCGGATGGGTGGGCCCTAATCCAACATGACTACTGACCTATAAGAAGAGGCCATTTGGACACACACATACGTGGAGTGGCAACCATAGATGGACCACAGGGAGAAGATGGCCGTTTGCAAGCCAAGGAGAGGGGCCTCAGAAGAAGCCAACCCTGCTGGCACCCTGAGGTTGGATTTCCAGCCTCCAGGACCATAGGCAAGTCCATGTCTGTTGTACAAGCGCGGTGGCCTGTGACACTTGATTATGGCAGCCCTAGCAAACTAAGACAGAGAAATGGGAATGGCAGGGTGGTGGTGGTTAGCGTGTCACAACCAAACCACAGAAAGCAGGGGTGGACGTGGCCTTGGAGACGATTGGATCAGACAGTAGATCAGTTATCTTTGCCCTCCTCCCCCATCTAGGTATCCGCCTCTGGGTGGGCCCCATTCTCTCAGGCATCTCCTTGCGTGTGGGATGCGGCAGCCTGTAGCTCTAGGACCCATCCTACAGCTTAAGATCCGAAGGAAAGCGGCAGCTCACCTCCACCTGCAATTCGGAGCCCTGTCAGGAAGGATTCTGATTTTCGCCTCTCAGATTTGGACTCTACTCCTGGGCCTTTCATCATGGGCAGGGCTGCAGCGCTGGATTGGTCCAGCCAGGATCCTGCGACCTTCCTGAAGGTGGGGTTGGGGGTGAGGTAGGAGCAGCAGGATCCTAAGGGTACCGAGATTAGCGGCACCCCCACCTCCAAGGACTTCACGGAGTCGGGGCGGAGCAGTTCCCTGAGGCCAGCCAATTGGGAGGCAGTGGTCTCAGCATTTCTCCTCTCCATCCTGATTCATTCCCACCCAGGAATTTCCCATGAAATCCAAACCACCAGGCGCGAGGCGGCCTCCCACGGGGAGGTCCCCGGCCGCGGCGGGGGCGCAGGCAGGCGGGTCCCTGTGAGTGCGTGGAGTGGTGGTGGCTGGCGACGGCCATGTGACGTCATGGTGATGGGAGGGTGTCTATTCTTTTTCTTCCTTCTCTAGGACTTGAGGTGGGACGTGGAGAAACAGGGGCCCCTCCTGGTTTGTCCACCCGGCTCAGACCTCCATTCCTCACCCAACCTACCACTTCAGAGCCAGGAAAAGACCTCAGAGAATATCTGCTCCAACTCCACCAAGGCTCAGACAGGGTAAGGAGTTGGCCCCACGTCACACAGCCTGGTGTATGTGACAGAGTCTGGGTGACAGTCAGCCCCACCAGGTCTTCCAGCTCCAACCTTGGTTAGAAGGGGAGGAAGGCTGGCACACCCAGCTGCTGCCAGGCACCGCCACTAATGTGCTGTATTAGCGGCAGGGCCCAAATCACTTGCCCAATTTGGACGTGGGCAAGTTTCCAAAATGTCCTGGTTGTTTCCTATTGTCTGTTTTTTTTTTTTTTAAATGATGGCCTGTAATCCCAGCACTTTGAGAGGCTGAGGTAGGTAGATCACCTAAGGTCAGGAGTTCAAGACCAGTCTCACCAATATGGTGAAACCCTGTGTCTACTAAAAATACAAAAAAACTAGCCAGGTGTGGTGTTGCATGTTTGTAGTCACAGCTACTTGGGAGGCCGAGACAGGAGAACTGCTTGAACCTGGGAGGTGGAGGTTGCAGTGAGCTGAGATTGCGCCACTGCACTCTAGCCTGGGCGCCAGAACAAGACTCTGTCTCAAAAAAAAAAAAAAATTAAATTAAAAAATAAAAAAACAAGGTGGTGATGATGCAGGTGTGGTGCAAGATTAGCTACTATAAGTACTCACCGAACCAGACCTTTCTAAGTCCCTAAATTATTACCTTGTTTTAAGTCAGGAGCTCACGGGCTGATGGGGCTGTCTTTACCCTTTAAACCTATAATTTACAGAGCAATATTCTTCCAGGCAGAGGGGGTGGATCCAGCTTCCAACCGTGCAGTGCTTAGTAATGAGGAGATCTTTTCCACCCTGGGGACATCTGGCTTCAGGAAATCTTACTGTAAACAGCTGGGTGTGACCAGCCAGCTTTAGGGCCAGGGCTGTCATGGCCCAGTGGGTTTGAGCCCAGACTCCGCAGAGAGCCAGTCTGCTGAGGCTGAGGTCCTACCTGCCACTCACCAGGGTGGGACACTGGAAAATCTATGGAACACTCCGTGCCTCAGTTTCCCATCTATCCAATGAGGAAAACAACACTTATCTGAGATTGTTGTGGAGATTAAATGGGCAAAACCACACACAGCTGTGATTCTCAATCAGGGATGATTTTGTTCCCCCGGGGACATTTGGCAATGTCTGGAGACATTTTGAGTTGTCCTGACTGGGTAGACAGATGTTGTTACTGGCATCTAGTGAGTAGAGGCCCGGGATACTGCTAAACATCCTATAAGAATGATCTGGGCTTGATGCGGTGACTCATGCCTGTAATCCCGGCACTTTGGGAGGCCAAGGTGGGAGGATTGCCTGAGCGTGGGAGTTTGAGACCAACCTGGGCAACAAAGCGAGATCCTGTCTCTACAAAAATTAAAACAAAACAAAACGAAACAAAAATGGCCCAGAATGTCAGTAGTGCTCACTGAGAAATAGTGGCGTAAAGGACAGTCTGATGATCCAATCAGTATTGTTGCTTATTAGTCCTCAGTTCAAGGTTGGATGTTCCTGAATTCTCAGTTCTGTTTCTGGCACTTATGTGAGCTGCTGGGTGCTTGGTCTTAAGTTCTTTCCCCTGTCTGAATATCAGGGGGCTCCTCTCCCCTGGAGTCTGCCTGCCCAGCCCCACCTGCAGGGGAGAGGAAGCCTGTATTGTTAAAGAGGAGGCCTCCGCCAGGCCATTTTAGAGGATCCACTGGCTTCACAAGTCCTAAGAGCCGCAGGGCACTCTTGGGCTGCTGTTCTATCACCTCTTAAGAGCTGGAAAATCAGTGCATGCATTGTGTCCTCAGCCCATGAGGCCTGAGTGGGCTGACTCCACCCTTGGTCAGCTTGCAATCCTATCCAAGCCAGTGGGATTCCACCCTGAGACTTTGCTAGAACCACCTGGCGAGAGGGTCTCTCTTGTGCAGGGGTTGCTGGCTGAGACAGTGTTTGTCTTGTGGCCATTTTGCCAACAAATGGGGACAATCTGTCCAAGAATTAACTGGTATAGAGGAGAGCAAACCCAAGAGGTGAAGAAGACTGAGTGTCTTGAAAGCATCATCAGACACCCTGTGTCCAAAGCCAGCTGTTGACCTTGACTGTTCTTTACATATGCCGCTTCATTCCCGTTTATTGTATTTTCAAACCAGTCTTTGAGTGGGGTTTCAGTCACTGGCCACTGGCTGTGTTAGGCCATTCTTGCATTGCTATAAAGAAATCCCTGACACGGGGTAATTTATAAGAAAAGAAGTCTAATTGGCTCATGGTTCTGCCGGCTGTACAGGAAGCATAGTGCTGGCATCCCCTTCTAGGGAGGCCTCAAGGAGCTTCCAATCACAGTGGAAGGCAAAAGGAAAACAGGCACATCACATGGTAAAAGCAGGAGCAAGAGAGAGAAAGTAGGGAGAAGGTGCCACCTTTTACAACAACCAGATCTCGCGAGAACTCACTCACTGTCACGAGGCTAGCACCAAGAGGATAGTGCTAAACCACTCGTTAGAAATCGGCCTCCATGATCCAGTCACTTCCCACCAGACCTCACCTCTAACATTGGGGATTACAATTCTACATGAGATTTGGGTGGGGACAAATATTGGAACTATATCACTGGCTCATACAGAAATTCTACCAACCCTTCAGTATTTTGCGTATCTATCTATGTTTTCCTGGAGCCTTACTTTTTTTTTCCTCCTGAACCAGATTGGAAGTTTCTTGAGGGCAGGGCTTGTATAGTAAACTCAATTCCCTCTGGATGCTACGAGGCAGCACAGTTCCATGGAACTTTCTGTGACAATGAGGATGTTGTGTATCTGTGCTGTCTGGTACAGTAGCCACCCACTAGCCACCTGTAGCTACAGAGCACCTGAAATGTGGCTAGTGTGACTGAGGAACAGAGTTTTAAATTCTAATTTAATTTTAATTCATACTTTGAGTAACTACATGTGGCCCGTGGCTGCCATATTGGCCGGCACAGCAGGGTAGCGTCTTGCATGGGCAGCTGTTGCTCTTTGAATTTGTATATGTTTCTCTGTTCATTTGCTTAAGAGACAACAAGAGTGTGCTGGACACTGGGAAATGTGGTCCAGGAGCAGTCACAGTCCCTACAGACTTCCCACAAATTACCGTAATGCAAAAGTGAGAATGTGGAATGTCTCAGAGGAGACCCAGATGATAGCCTCTGGAATTCAGCGGAGATCCCTCGTGGTCCAGAGAGATGTTGCGGGGAGAGGGGTGGGACTGCGTAAGACTCCTCAAGGGCAATTAGTCAAACACCGAGATGAACTGATCCATCTGCGCTCTGCTGAGGAGCCCTTCTGGGATGTAAGTCCCCATCTGAGAGGCAGCTGGAGGGGACAGGGCCTGGCAGACTGGGGTTAATGCAGCCAGAGTTCAAGTTCTGGCTCTATTAGCAGTGAACACTTGGGAGAGTTCCTTCACTCACCGACTCTCGTCAGTATAATAGTAATAGCATGAACCCATCGGGATGGTTTTAGGATTAAAAGAGATACTTGTGCAAAGCGTCAGCATACAGTAAGTGGTTGGAACAAACATACGCACAGAATCTTAGCTGCCAATTATGAGGACTCAGCTCTTTCCTCCTGGGGGGCACTGTGAGGCTTAGAGAGACTCAGGGAGACCCAGCCCCTCACCTCCACCTCGCATGAAGCTCTACCCTTCCCTGGGGGCTGGGTCTTCCTTTCTTGACACCCCTCAATGCCAGGGCTGCCCAGGGTGCCGGAGATCAGCCACAGAAAGAAGCCCTGCCGTGTTCAAGTGAATCGAGGGGAGCTAGACATTTCCCACCGGCTTGATGAAGCTACTCTCCGGATTCATTCCCTACCGCTGGGAATCAGCAGCACATCTTGCAACCAGCGTGGCTGAAAACAGACATCTTGGATAGATTCTACCTGACATCTTAGTTGGCGGCCAATCAGCTGTGCCCTGGCTACCCTAGTGCCACCTCATGGGTCCATTACATCGGACTGTAGCCTGATAAATCTGATTTAGCCATGAGCCAGAGCAAAGGGAAAGAGCGAACCGTTTACAGAAGGCGGGGCCTCACGTCCAGGTGTAGCACTTAGGAAGTACTCGTTACATCCGGATGACACAGATGCACAGGAGCCAGGTCGAGGGTCCTGGGAGGAGGCAGAGGCCCAGCAGAGGATCTGCTGCCTGGCACCCTGCGCCCCTTCTTTACCCTCAGGAGATGAGCCCCTCACCCCCAGCACTCCAGCCTCAGGGAGTTCTTTGTAGCCGTGGGGCTCTGCCCCTCCTACCACAGGACCTTTGCACACACTGCCCATGCTGTCTAGAATCCTCTCCACCTGCTGAACTCCCGTCCACCCACCTTCTTTTCTATGTTAAATCCCCATGTGAAAAGATATGAAAAGCCCTCTGACTACCAGCTTACCTCTGCTGTCAAGACTTACTATAGTTGTCTGGTTGTGGTGGCTCACACCTGTAATCCCAGCACTCTGGGAGGCCGATGTTGAGGGGGATCACTTGAGCTCAGGAGTTCAAGATCAGCCTGGCAACACAGTGAAACCTCTACCAAAAAAAATAAAAATAAAAATTAATCAGGTGTGGTGATGGTGACATGCCTGTAGTCCCAGCTACTCAGGAGGCTGAGGTGGGAGGATTGCTTGAGCCCAGGATATTGAGGCTGCAGTGACCTATGATCCTGCCACTGCACTCCAGCCTGGGTGACAGAGCAAGACTTCATCTCAAAAGAAAAAAAAAAAGAGAGACTTAGACCACAATGACACTTGGCAGAGACACTTGATGGATTATTTAATTTATGTCTGTCTTCCCCACCAAGGGGATAGTGGTTGGGCAGGATTTTTTCACCCTTTTGTCCCCAGCATCTAGCTCAGGGACTGCCTGCCTGCCTGGGATGGTCTTCCCCCAGATCTTTGCAAGGCTGGTTCCTCAGAATTTAGATCTCAGTTCAAAAATCCTCAAAGATCCCCTGCCCTCTACTTGAAGTCCCGATCACACTTGTCACTATCTGAAATCAATCACCCTGGCCACTGGTGTGTTTCTTATCTCCCTTCATGACCTGAGTTCTCTCACTGGATCTCCAGCACCAAGGACCAGCCCTGGTTCCCAGGAGGATTGGCTAATACAGTATCTGTGGTCAGCCTAGAGAAACTGGCCGTCCCCAGTCTGTCTTTTAGCGTCTTCTAACTTTCTCGTGTCCTCCCCATTTAATACACACTTCCAGAGTGCTCAGCCCCTGCTGACATGAGCAATGGGCAGGGCGTCCGACTGGGTTCCTGCCCCATGAGAAGCACACAGCCTGGTTTGGGGAGGTGGGGCTCCATCAGGGCTGTTCGGATACCTGAGTGGAGCCCACAGACCAGCCCCCACCTTGTGTGGTTAGGGCTGTGCTAGGAAGGCCCATCTGTGTGCCATGACCTTGGAACTCGACGTGAGATCGCTGGACCGGCAGCAGCACCTGGAAGCTTGTTGGAAATGCTGATCTCAGGTGGGACTCCAGAATTCCCACACTGCACCTGCACTCCCCAAATACCTCCCCACCAGATGATCCAAGGGCTTGGGGCAGTCCGAGGAGCACCTGCCAGGGCGCCTGGGGTCCCACCGCTAGAGATCCAGCCCAGCAATCTGAAGATGTAAGTGCCCCCAGGAGGAGTGACAGAGTGACACAAATGACACAAGGGGAGGGGACTTGTCAGGTGTCCCCTCCTACTGCAAGTTCCCGGGGCAGAAGGCAGTGCCCCCACAGGGACTTTTCTAGACACTCCGAGTGCACCTGAATTGCATTTTGAGTGATGCTACCTGCTAAGGTAAATCCTATGCTGGGAGGTGGGGGGAGGGGATTTCACTAACATTGCAGGGGGGCGAGGGTTGGGAGAGTGTGTAATTGTGAGGATGAGCCTGGGATTTGGAGGGAGATGGACTGGGTTGGGGTCCCTGCCCCGGGATGTCTTGGCTTTACAAAGCTGGGCAAGCCCCTCCACCTTTCCGATCTCAGCTTCTCCATCTATGAAATGGGTTCATAATCTCACAAAGAGGCTGCTGGCAACACTAAATGAGAAAACACAGAAAAAAGCCCCCTCCGCCATAAAGTGCTGTGCAGTAGTATTTATTGTTACAGTGTTAAAATTCACTCTCGGGGAAGTGATTTGGGGCCACGGCCCTAGGAACCGCGTCTTTGTTCAGAGCCATCCCATTTCCTCCGCAGCCACAAAAGGCCTGCGTGTGTCAGGGCTCGGGAGATTCTCCTCGCTGGCCAGCCATCGGCAAGAATGCCAGACCCAGAGGCTGCCATTGCCCACAGGGTTTCTTCTCCTTTCCATTCACAGCAGGAAGAGCCCTCCGGAGCCTCAGAATGCAGAGTGGAAGTGGTGGTGCCCAGGACACATGGGCTCTGATGGGAAGGGGGAGGTGGGCCTGAGCATGGGCCTTCTTCCCCCCGGGTCAGAGAGGCCTGGGTGCCCCTGGAGGGAATGCTGAGGTCACCTCTGGCCAAATCTTCCTGTTCTGCCAGGACCCAGCCCTGTTCAGTGACGTCAAGCTTTTGGATCCCTGTTCTGGGACCCTCCTCCCTGGCCGGGCTGTGTAGAGACGCCCTTCTCTCCACTTTATTGGGTCCAGATTATTGTGTGGCTTCTCCCCTCCTCTGCAGTCTGAGGTCTGAAAACAGCAATGCTGACAGACAGACAGATTTCTCAAAGAAAGGTCCCGCTCAGCCAAGGACAAAGGGGCCTCGCAGAGGCTCCTGGGGGTGAGAAAGCTGAGAGTCTACCGGGCAGGTGCCTTCTGCACCCACAGGTACAGGCTGCAACAGCTTTCCAAGAAGCACTTCCACTTCGTCCCCAGGTCCAGATGCCACATTGCCCTGCAGGGACCAAGACCACACTCGGGCTGCTCGGACAGGATGTAGCGGGCCACTGTCCTGGAGCTGGCCCCTCTGTAGCCTGTGACAATCAACTCGAGTCTCTCTGCCAAGTCTCCGCCTTCTGTTCTTGCCCATCCTTGAAGCAGAGTTGATATTTTGGGTTTTTCCAGCAGACAAAGCTCACCCAATCTGACACTGTGGAGGTTGTTAATTTAACAACCAACCCATCCTCATGTTAAGAAACCAGCTCCAAATGCTCACCTGGCTGTCAGGGATGGGGAGCCTCATGGGTGAAAGAGGGATATGATGGCATAATTTAAACCAAAAGAGACATTGGCGTTTGCCCGTGTTGCCCCAGGCCTGCTGGCCTCCTGCTGTGAATGTTTCAGGTAATTCCATCTCTGCCAGTGACCCCCCAGTTGTCCACTTGTCCCCAGCAAGATCGAACCATGTAAGTGGCCATTTCTGACAACTTAGGTGAACGCTGGTTTCAAATCATCAGCTCTGCGTTCAAGTGCCCTGCTACAATTCTGGCTCACTCTGCAGGAATAAGTGCCTGCCTGGGCGCGCTGCCATTGCTGCCTCCCAAAAGGCAGATTCTGGGGTCCCAGCTCGTCCAGGCTAGATGTGGCTTGGGAGTGACCTGTGGCACCAGGTTGGAGGGAGGTCTCACCTCTCCTTTCTGAGCTGTGGATTGCAACTTCAGGACCCTATGGATGAGGCTGAATGTCATGAAGATAATGGAATTTGGAGTCTCAGCAAAGCCAAGCCACATGCCAGAGATTCGCCACCTGGGGCCCAGGATCAGAAGTGTGTCCTTAGGAGGCCAAATATCCACCTGTCTACCAGCTAGACATTTGGTCTCAGATAGCAAGAAAGGCTGTGGTTAGGGGGAACACCATGGTCTTCGGCATGAGAGAGGTGTAATTCTCAAGTTCATCAGAGCTCGGCTTCCCCCATGAGAGGAAACAATTTGCCAGGTTGAAGAACACATGCTTTGAGGGTTCTCAGAGGCTGACACCTGTTGTGAATCTTGGAAACTCAAGCCCCAGTGCAAACGGCCTCAAAGGAGATCAAGCATCATGGTTCCAACAAGAGACTCGCTTTGATAACCCGATGTGTAAGTAGAACAGCAATGCATCCGTCCTTCCCTAATCATCACGTGGCTGTCATCCGGTCAATGAACTGAAGCCCGAAGGCTTGGGTCAAACTGGTTTTCAAGGCTGTGCTCATGGGATTTATATGTTTCTTGAGCCCTGTTGGGGGCCTCTTGGCAGGTCTGAACATTAAACATTTCTTTTCTTCCTTTTGCACACTGCTCCAACCAAAACAGTTGGAGAGAACTAGCTCTATGTCATTTCTGTGTTGTAAATGGGAAATTAGCTACCCCATAACTTCCCATTGTCTCCTGAGAGGTTACAAAGTGTGTTACAGATATTAGCAAGTGTTAATCCTCACGATGTCCCTGGGAGGGAACCAGAAGTATCATAGATGAAGACATTGAGGCACAGAGAGGTGAGGCCACTGGGAAGAAGCCACACAGCATAACAGTGGCAGGTCAAGAAAAGGGCTGGGGTTCTCCCCACCAACACCGAATGATTTTGCTCTGTGGAGTTTGTGTCTCGGTTAGGACATTGGTGAGCTATGTCACCTATGTTTCAGGTGACAGGGACATCACAACAAAGGTTTGTTGGGTTAACAATGTCAAGCATTTCCCTGCCCTAGACCCCAAACTCATTGCCACACTCCATACCATTGTCATTGGGTTCAACAAAGCCAAGCTACAGGCCAGAGATTCACCATATGGGGCCATCGGTCATCCCTGATCCTGTTGTCCCAGTAGCTTTTATTCTGGTGATAGGATATCTGCATCTCCTAGAAATGTGACTGCTAAGCCCCACCCCTGCACAGATCATTCACTGGCCCCCCACTCAGCGTAGCCACTCCTGTGTGGATTAGCGAACAGCTCTTCCATACGTCCACCCCCATGTGTCACAGAGCTTTTCAGGTGGAAGGAATGATCAGCCCCCATTTTGCATTCTCCCAAGAGAGATTCAGCGAGAGAAGTCAGGACCCAAGTTCTCAGTCAGGGAGGGTAAGGATGCTGCAGCCAAGAGTCCCCCAACCCCCGCCCTGTCTGATGTCTTAGCAAGAGGCAGCACTTCCTGCACCGGCTCTGCCAATGCACCGGGTGCTGGTGTGTGAGGCTGGGGCCTCCCTGTTCCCCCAGAAGGGTGTTTTGGGAAACTGTGGACCTCTTCCCACCTTGGCAGCTCAGTTTAAGGCTCCAGGGACTGCTTGGCTGCTCCAGTGATGGTCACTCTGAGGTGGAGCCTGTGTATCCTGGATGGAGGCAGGGCTGGACACTGTGACAGGTCCTCTGGGCCAATCTCCAGTTGAGCAGGAAAGTCCATGGCCCACCCAAGACAGGTGGGCTGGTGTCTTCTCTCTCCTGGGAGCTGTGGAGCTGAAACCACAGAGTCTGTTGGGATATTGCCCAGGAGCAGGGGACATCCTCAGCCTGCGGCTGCTATGTACAGTGGGAACGGCACCTGGGGCCATCTGGCTTCTCTTCCTTCCTGGGTCTCTCACGTAGGGTCTGGTGGAGCCACCCGTTCCTTACACATTGGTGACCTCCAGGCTGTTGTAGCCTTCCAGACGGCACTGTTCCAGCCTGCTCTGGGCGTCATCGTCTCCGCAGTCTTCGTTTTGAAGAGAGCCATAGTCATCATGGAAATCAGGATCTTTGCTGCTGAAGCCCCTTCCTATCTTCCCCAGGGGCAGCTGAGAAGACAAGAATGTGATCAAAGGACAGGAAGAAGAGAAACAGGAATTAAGAATGAAGTTCTGGGAAAGGTCTCCAATTCTAATTGCTGTGTGATTGAGTAACTCACTTAACCTGTGTGTGCTCCCCCTATTAGTAATAATACTCCCTGCTCAGGGAGGCTGAGGGGAGTCTGTGAATGACCATTAGGGGAGAGCTTTGTGTCCCCCCGCCCCCGGAAGGATTCAGCTGGTTACCAAGGTGAGGACAAATATCATCGGTCTGATTATTCCTGATTCACAAAAGCCTCCTTCTTTCCTCCTTGGTGGGTGGAGAGTTGAGGAAGTGTGTCCTGGAGACTACCTGTGAGAATGTCTGAGCAGGCCCGTGAGGTCTGACTGCACTCCCAAGTCAAGGAGGAATATTCTAGACAGCCTGGTGTGGCAGAAAGAATGTGCGTTTTGGAGACTCATAGACCCAGGTTCAGATCCCTGCTCTGCCACTTCCCAGCTGTGTGACCTTGGACAAGTCACTTCCCCTCTCTGAGCCCATTTTCTCAGCTACAAAATGGGAATAGTAGTTTCTAACTCCCAGGTTTGTTGTAAAAAGTAAAGTCCCACCAGTCTGGCCAGCATGGTGAAACCCAGCCTCTCCTAAAAATACAAAAATTAGTCGGCCTTGGTAGCGAGCTCCTATAGTCCCTGCTACTCAGGAGGTTGAGGCATGAGAATCACTTGAACCTAGGAAGCAAAGGTTGCAGTGAGCTGAGATCACGCCACTGCACTCTAGCCTGAAAGACAGAGTGAGACCCTGTCTCAAAAAAAAAAAAAAAAAAAAAAAAGTCAAGTCCCATCTGCAAAGCACATAGCAAGTGCTTGCACCGAGTAAATACTTGATGACTAGTAACTATTATTATCACACACAGTAGGCCTTCAAAATACCTCTCTTAACTATTATTATCACACACAGTAGGCCTTCAAAATACCTCTCTTAACTATTATCACACACAGTAGGCCTTCAAAATACCTCTCTCTTAACTGTTATTATCACACACAGTAGGCCTTCAAAATACCTCTCTTAACTGTCATTATCACACACAGTAGGCCTTCAAAATACCTCTCTCTTAACTATTATTATCACACACAGTAGGCCTTCAAAATACCTCTCTCTTAACTGTTATTATCACACACAGTAGGCCTTCAAAATACTTCTCTCTTAACTATTATTATCACACACAGTAGGCCTTCAAAAATACTTCTCTCTTATTGCACACATCTCTGTGTTAAAGTAGTCACATTAGTGCTTTGTAACTCTTTATTTGACTGCGTTTCTTTCCAGACCAGTGTTTCCCGATCTTCTTTTTATATTATTATTGCTCCCTAAGGAGACTTTTTAGACAGTTTTTTCCTAATTGCACCCCTGCTGTGAAATTTTAATGCCACAGACATACTACGCCTCTGCTTGTGTACCATATGTACATTTGTGCTTTTACATAGAATAAGAATTTTTGCCACTGCCTCCACCCCCAACCTCCACCAAAACAAATTTTCGCTCCTTTGGGGGCAATATTAGTCCCAATTACTAGAATGCATGTTCTAGAATGGAGCTTCTTAAGGGTAAAGTGGCAATGTATTCACGTTTATGAATGAATGGGGATCATGCATTCTTCAAATGGAAGACGTTTTGGATTACCCAGTTCTGCCATCTGTGTCTGTGCATTTCCATTGAGGAATCTGTGTCAGTTGGAGTCTGTGCAATCGGACCTGAATTGCATGTGTTTTCATACTGTTTGGTTGGAGTCACCAGAGGTTCATCTTTGCTATTGGTCAGGTCACTGAAGTCCCAAATCGAAATCAGTGATCGGGGCTCAGACTTTGGGGCTGCGCTGGAACCCTCTGGGCAGCCTGGCTGAATGCAGGATCCACCTCACCCCAGAGATCTCCTTTTCCAGGAGGCCATGGTGGGTCCCAGAATCTGCATGTTCAGTAATAGTCCCAGGTGACTCTGATGCAGGCAGGTGAGACCTGCACTTTGAGATCCAGGCGCTACTCGAAGCCTTGCGGGGGCTTTGTGCACTGTACCCAAAGCATCGTGAAGGTTCCTTGAAGGTACGTCCTGGATGCCCCCGTGACCCGGCCTGGCACTCCACCTTCACAGGCCAACACAGGAGCCACAGAGCTCCTGTGAGGAGGAAAAAAGACCTGCAGCTGGGAGGAGAAAAAAAGACCTTTCCCAGGCGTGCAGGATCCACAGGCAAACCCGTCGAGTGACTTACCCGGCCAGCTTTGTACTTGAGGCCGCTGCTGTTCTCCTCCTTTCCTGCCCGCGTGACGCTGGAGGCCCTGCCAGGGGGCGTTCCAAAACGCTCAGCCTCCCGGATGCCTGTGGAGCTGGGGGGAGGCCCATTTTGAGTCAGCAGGGGAGGCTCAGTCACTTCCCCAGAGACATACACACGTCCATTGGTGACAATGACCAGAGCTGCTGAGACCGACTGATTACCTCTCACATGCCATCCTTGTGCTCAGCACTTAAGAAGTGTGATTCTCACAACATGCCTGGGACTTGGGACTGCCAGCCCAGCATTATAGACAAGGGAAAGGAGGCCAGAGACAGCAAGCAATTTGCCCAAGACGACACAGCTGTAAGCGACAGAAACAGGCCTCCGATACTCCAAAGTCTTGCTCTTAACTCTTTGGCGTACTGCGAACCTTACCGCAGCAGACTCGAGATGAGTATCTCAGCATGATAGCTAATTAGCTGTGCTTGGAGAAGCATGAGGAGTCTCCCCTGCTCAGAATTTGCAATCTGTGTCGCCCACCTGACTTTCTGCCTGAAATTGCCCCCATGACTCCCTTCTTTGTGCAAAAGCATTGAAGCTTCTGTTAGAATAGGATTTAGCCAACTACAGCCTGCCTGCAGGTCAAATCCAGCTGGCAGACTGATTGTATAAATAAAGTTTTATTGGAACTCAGCTGTGCCCATTTGCTTGCGTGTTGTCTATGGCTGCTGTCTTGCTATAAGGACAGAGTTGTAGACTTTTGACAGAGATCATATGGCTCTCAGATCCTAACATATTCACTATCTGGCCTTTCACAGAAAAAGTCTGCATATCAATGCTGTAGATAAACAGAGTTGGGACAAGAGGCCTGGCCTGGAGCCAGAAGTCACCACGGAGGTAGACTCATTAAAAGAAATGAAACTTCTAGGCGGGGCATGGTGGCTCACGCCTGTAATCCCAGCACCGTGGGAGGCCAAGGCGTGTGGATCACTTGAGGCCAGGAGTTCGACACCAGCCTGGTCAACATGGCAAAACCCCATCTCTACTAAAAATACAAACAAAAATTAGCTGGGCATGGTGGTGCACACCTGTAATCTCAGTTACTCGGAGGCTAAGGTTGAACCTCAGGAGAATCACTTGAACCCTGGGAGGTGGAGGTTGCAGTGAGCTGAGATCGTGCCACTGCACTCCAGCACGAGACTCTGTTTCAAAAAAAAAAAGAACCTTCTAGCATCCTTTAAGCTGCCTCAGAGAAGTTCTTCGTCTTCTGGGGCAAATTTTGCTGAGAAAGTTCAAGGGAGGGGAGTGGTGTGTAGGAGACAGCACTGATTGAATGGCAAATGAGCTACGTTCTCAAACCCACGGGTTCCACAGGCTTCCACATAACAGGGAGGCCCTTGCTCAGTGGTGGGTCAGGAAATGAGGTCTTCATGAATGGCGCCCCTCTCCTCCACCCGGAGACGAGATTCCCCAGGTCTGGTGGGGAAGCAGCTGTAATTGCAGAAGCCACAAAATGTAAACTCAGGCAGCTGGCTGTTTGCTGTCTGGTACAGAGGGGTGCTGGAGCCCCAGCTCATGGAACACGAGCAGTCAAATGAGCCTGGGAGAGCCTCAGGGGTCCCATCTCTTATTTTCACTGAAGAAGAGACAGAAGACCAAAGAGGGGGTATGTCTTGTCTGAAGATACACAAGACACCCAGTGGCAGGGGTGGAAATTGAACTTGGGCCTCTGGGATCAAGGTCTAGACCACGGCCTTCCCACCTTGGGATTTAGGGTAGGACAGTGGTCGTACGTGTGGGCTCCATGTCAGCAGCCTGGCTCGATGCCTTAGCATTAGCATAGCCTGGGCTGTGTGCTGAGCAGAGTGGGGTTAATAACAGAACTTCCTTCTCAGGTCACTGTGAGGACTAAATGAGGGGATACACACAAATACACACACACACACAAACACATATGCACACACAAAAACATATACACACAAATACACACACACAAATACACACACATACATATACACACACATACACACAAACACACATATACACACAAACACATATGCACATACACAAATATACACATAAACACATACAAACACAAACACACAAATACGTACACAAATACAAACACATATGTGCACACACATACACAAACAGACACATGCACACACAAATACACACACATACACACAAACATACACACATACAATATGCACACACACAAATACACACAAATACATACACAAATACACACATATATATACACATGCACACACACATATACACACACAAGCACACATACACACATACATATATACACACATACACAAACATACACAAATACCACCTAAACATGCACACATACACAACACACATATGCACACACACATACACAAATACACAGACACACAAATACACACAAATTCATACACACATACATATACACACATACACAAGCATACACACACGCATACACATATATACACACATACACAAGAGCACACACATACACAAACACCACCTACACATACACACATACACACACACATACACACATACACAAACATACACACACATACGCACAAACACACAAATACATACACACACCCATACACAAACATACACACACACATACACACAAGCACACACACATGCACATACACACATATATACACACACACACAAATACACACATACACAAACATCACATACACATACATACAGACATACACCTACAACACACATATACACACACATACACAAACACGTATACACACAGACACACAAAAGTACAAACACACACATATACACAAACACACATACACACAGATAATACACACATATACACACAAACACACATACACAAACATACACATACACACATATACACACAAACACATATACACACATATAAATACACAAACATACAAATACACACATATCTACACACACACACACATACCCATACATATACACACACACAAATATTAAGCTCTGTGTAACAATAGCAAGAGTAATTGCTACAATTACATCTTACTGTGGCCATACAAGGCTTTGGGGACACAAACCTGGTCGGAGTTCCTGCTCAGCCATTCCCTCCATATGTTCTTGTGCAAGTAGAACACCTTACTGGGCCTCAGTTTCCTTATCTGTACAATAAAGTCCAGTAAGCAGCCCTCGTCTTTTTTCTTCTCTGAGCAAGGGTCTCGCTCTGTTGTCCAGGCTGGAGTGCAGTGGTGCAATCATGGCTTACTGGGCTCAGGTGATCCTCCCACCTCAGCCTCTCAAGCAGTTGGGACTACAGGTGCACGCCACCACACCCAGCTAATTTTTGTATTTTTGGTAGAGACAGGGTTTTGCCATGTTGTCCAGCTCCTGGGCTCACGTGATCTACTGGCCTTGACCTCCCAAACTACTGGGATTACAAGTGTGAGCCACTGTGCCTGGCCAGCCCTGGTCTAAACAACTACCCTATCCATAGAAAGTGGTTGTCTTTCTGTAGACAGAGAAGTACGGCGTGACCTTGGCCTCCACTGTGCCAAAATATCCTCCCTCCTCATTTTTTCCCCAGTGGCTGAAATCCCCCCATCTAGGCCTTTGGATTAAATCCCATGAAAACATAAAAGCTCCAGGGATAAGCCAAGCACAGGGCCAAGGTCTTTGGAAGCTTTGAACCGACCTATTAAGTATTTCTAGTTACTTAGACCTCGAGGAAATGGTACATTGGAAGGAGAACTTTTGATGAGGGAACGTTGTGGAGAATGGCGCATCTCACTGGAATCTCCTGAGGCAATGCAGGGCACCCCGGGCACTAAATCGGCATCGTGGTGCAGGAAGGAAAGTTGGGGGGTAGGAGTCAGCCTCTGCCAGCTGGGCCAGCTTGAACATTGAGTCTCAACCCATTAACCAAGGATTTACAAGGCTGGAGAGGCACAAGACGCTGTGCTGGAGAAAATGAATGGAAAGGAAAGAGTACTCGAGGGCCACACTGTGTGCTGGGCACACTGTCAGCTCCTTGCCACGGTGGCTGAGCAAACCCTCTGCAAAGCCCTGGGAAGAAGGGGTGATCATCCTCACTGCAAGCTGAAAAAACCGTGGCTCAGAGAAGGTAAGGTTTTCGCCTAAAATCACACCGATGATGGTGGAGGACCCAGAATGCAGCCTCAAAGGCCCCGCTGGGCCCCATCGCACATAGGCCCATGCCTCTGGGCACTGAGCTGGTCCAGTGATGGGTCAGGGATGGTTTGAGGGTGGGGTGGGGCAGAATCTCATATAAGCTCAATGTGTCCTTCCACCCGCATTCGGGTGGCCTGCTGAGTGACCGGAGAATAAATGTTTTCCATTGCCCGTGTCTTGGGAAGCCTGTCGGCCAAGGAGGTGGGACAGGTGACAAGGTTCTCTTATTCTTTGTGTTTGAGGGTCAAGTCTATTTGAGTTTGTAATGGAATTGTTCTTCTCCATTGAAAAGCTAATGAGAACACTGGAGCAAACTGACAGAAGGGGACTCCCAGGCAGCTACTCCAGGGAAATTGTTGACTGCATGGAGATTCTTCTGTCTCCAGATGAAGGCAGGGGCAGAAGCTCTCAGTTCCTGCTGGGCATCTATGTATCAAGCAGGCTGCATACAATTTGCCTCCCTGAACCTTTGGAACAAAGCTACAAGGTCGGTATGAGTCATATTCCCATATTATAGAGGAAGAAACTGAGGCTCAGAGAGGTAAAACCTAAAACCACTAGCTCATGTTCAACACAGCAAGAAAGCAGTGATGCTGGGACTCGAACCCACATTGCAGCCATTGCCCTGCAGAGGAGGAATGGGAGGCAGCAGTGGTGGGGCTAAGGGTGGGTTTGGAATAAATCACTAATATTTATATTATTGGATGTCTTACGGTGTACCGGTTCCTTTGCCAATTGCTTTATACATTGTCTTACCTCATCTTGCCATCAACTCTTTGGGAGGCAGATACTGATTACTATACTCATTTTGCAAATGAGGAGAGTACAGTTCAGAGAGGTTAAGTAACTTGCCCAAGGTCACACAGCCAGGATTAGTGCTGCTGGGGTTTGAACTTGGGTTGCCTGGGGCTAGAGTGCCACAAGGCGTTCTGGATGGATTTATGTCTTCACTTAGATGTCTGTGAAACCAGTTTCTTGCCTGGATGGGAGCCAAAGCCTTTCTTTGATGAGCAGAGACCCTCAGAGATCTATTGAAAAAGGGAAAGAGAAAACCTGGAGTGGAAGCAGGTCCTGGGCTGGAACTCCACACCATCCACCTATGAGGTCTTCACCCATCTCTGTAAGCTTTGTGAGAGCAGGACATGGATCACTCAAGTGCCTACGCACAGCAGGTGTTCAATGACTGTGGAGGGTGGCTTTTATGGCAAGAGGGGCACTATTCCAGCCTAGATCCCAGGGGAGAGAGATCAGCTCCAGAAAGAGCTTCTGACTAGGAGTAGAGACCTGGGTTCCAGTCCTGTTATGGTTCCAGTCCTGCTCCTCTGTGTGTCCTGTCCTGGACTCTTGTTTTAGTGACAGGACATATTGCCTTCAAGGCACATTTGGGGACTGATCATGCATTTTCATCAAAATTTTTGTTTTGACTCCTCCGATCCCCTGGCAGGTGCCTTTGGGAAACCTCTGCTCCTCACTGCATCCTTCCTGCTCACTGGTTTTATTCTCCAGGTCCTTAGTGCACAGTCCTATGATCAGTGCATTGTTGGCGCTGGACCAAGGTTTATTGGGCGATGCAGCAAGTCAGTGTGTGTCAAAGCAGATACCATGAGACCATGGCAGAGACTTCTCCTTGGCACCTTTGGGTCATGTGCATTGTCAAAGTTGTGGGAGGAGGCTAGAGATGATGTCATATTGGGAGCCATAAGCTCTTGGTGAATGTGGAGCCTGGACAGAGTCATTTCCCTCTTATCTTATCATTGGGAGGTTCATTGCTTTCGTCTCATTCTTAAAGGAGTCCCTGTCCTACCACAACATAAGAACCCACCCTATTTGTCCCCACCAGTTCCTTCTCTGGTGCTCCTTGACTAGTCTTAGACAGTCCTGAACACACCTGTCACCTCGTGGGTGGTCAAGGGTTTAATCAGATACACGAATGCCTGCTAATATTTAGTTAGAGCCATCTCTCCAGGGCTCAGAAAAAAGTCTGTTACAGATCATGTGGCTCCAGAAGGGAGGTCAGGGAAAGGGGATAATTCTGAGGAGAAAAGGCTTTTCCCTGTGTCTTTTGATTCATGGCTCCTGGAAGAAGGTTTTGTTTTGTTTTTCTGTTTTGTAGAGATGGACCCTCGCTCTGTTACCCAGGCTGGAGTGCAGTGGCGTAATCATAGCTCACTGCCGCCTCACACTCCTGGGCTCAAGTAATCCCCAGCCTCAGCCTCCTGAGTAGCTGGGATTATATGGTGCATTCCACAACCTCCAGGTAATATTTTAAATTTTTAGTAGAGACAAGGTCTCGCTATGTTGCCCAGGCTGATCTTGAACTCCTGGGCTCAAGTCATCCTCCTTCCTCGGCCTTCCAAAGTGCTGAGATTGCAGGCATGAGTCACCATGCCTGGTCTAAAATAGAATTCTTATCAAACATTGTCTCCGTAAGAACCACCCCAAAATGCTAAAAATGTAGATCCCTGTGTTCTGTCAGCAGATACTGGTCCTGCAAGTCTGAGGCAGGACCAGGGAATCTGCATTTTACAATAGCTTCAGTGATTCTGCTGCAGGGGTCTGTGGGCCTCACTTTGAGAACAGCTTGGGTGTCAGCCTGCCAGTAGGGAAGAGCAGCCCAGGACACCTGGACCCTGCCATACATGAACAATTTTTCCTTAAGCCTCAGTTTCCCCACCTGCATAACATGGGGAGTGGTCCAGCTGCTCCCTAAGACTCCATGTGGTTTGGGGGTTTAGCACTCAGGCCTGCGTTAGAGAGTCCCATGGTCAAATCTGGGCTCTGTCAACAAAATCAACAAACCTTTAGATAGGCTGATTAAAAAAAAAAAAAAAAAGAACAAAATTCAAACTCAGATCACTAAAACCAGGAGTGAGTGAATGAGAGAATATGACTACCAACTTTACATTAAAGAGGCATTATAAGATAAAAAGTATATGATCAATTGCATGCCACCAAATAAGCTAACCTAGATGAAATGGACAAAATCCTAGAAAAATATAAGCTACTGAAACTGCCTCAAGAAGAAATAGAAAATCTGAATAGACCTCTAACAAGTGAAGAGATTGAATTAGAAGTCAAAAAGCTTCCCAGAAAGAAAAGCCTAAGACCAGACGGCCTTCACTGGTGAATTCTACCAAATGTCTAAAGAATAATGAACACCAAACCTTCCAAGCTTTTCCAAAAACCAGAAAAGGGGAGAATACTTCCTAATTCATGCTATGAGGCCTTTATTACCCTAATAACAAAATCAGACAAAAACGTCACACAGAGGGAAAACCATAGACCAATATCCCTTGTAAAGATAGATGCAATTTTTTTCCAACAAAATACTAACAAAGTTAATCCAGCAATATATGAAAAGGATTATACACTGTGACCAAGTGAAATTTATCTGAGGAATGCAAGGTTGGTTTGACATATGAAATTCAATCAATATAATATACCATATTGATAGAATAAAGGTCAAATCTAGGATTTGCCACTTACTAGCTGTGTATCTTGAGCACATAGCTTGGTACCTTTGAAGAAGTTTCTCCATCTGTAAAGGAGGGATAGTGCTACTGATCTCTTGACGTTGCCAGGAGGATGCAATTAGATAGTTCACACAGCAAGTGTTCAATAAATGGTCATCTAACCCTAAGTGCATCATTTTAAGAAGAGAATCCACTGGGATGGGGACTGGTTTAAGCCCAGGTGTTCATTCTCTAGTCACTTTTCAGATGAGGATACTAGGACAGGTGGGCTGATGTGGTCTGCTCACCTGGTCCATAAGCATCATGAATATGCTCATTGCTGACTCCAAACCTTTGTCCCCACAGTTGCCCCACCTGGACCAACCAACTCAACCTATTAGGCCAATGCAAGTCCTCCCAGCTACACTCCACCTGCACGTGGCCTTTCCTTACACGTGCACTGCTTGCTGTCTCTTCTCTAAACACCTGGGTGTGTTTGGATTTAATATACACTTAATTCAACATCTGACTGCTCCTCTACCTCTTTCTAGTCTATGACCTTCAGGCGAAAGCACTTTGCTTCTCTGAGTCTTGGTTTCCTGATCTGTAAAAGAAGACCACCATGGTGCAAAGAACAAATGAGAGGCCGTAAGTGATGGGCCAGCATGGGGAGCTGGACCATCTGCCTCCAAAGCCCTGAGCTGTACTGTAGCCAGCAGCCAGAGCCCCGCCCGTGCTCACTTGGCTGAATGGAAGACGGCGCTCATCTCCTCTGCCAGATGTCTCCGGAGGATGTGTTTCCCACTGGGGATGCCCAGGGCAGTGGCCATGGCCTCAGCATTGAATGTCGGCTCCAGCACCAGCACAGCCCCATGGACGCCGCTGTTGGTCAGGTTGTCTGCATACTCCTGGGGCAAAGGCAGGGGGCTTGTTAGCCTGCAGTGGCCATGCTGCTGACCTGAGGGGGCTGCAGTTCCAAGTGGGGCTCTGTCCCCAACAGCAAGGGTTTGACCCCCTGGGGACCAGTTAATTTGCTGGTGAAGATGAACCCCTCCCCAGTTTTTTAAAGCCACAAGGGCAGGGACCTCCTGTTACTGAGATGGCCCCTGACCCTAGCAGGAAGTCATCAATATTTGTTAAATGAATCTCAACCCCACAGTTGCTTAGGAGAGTGGGGCTGGCACAGCCTCCCTACCCCGTGTGAGAAAAACATCATGACACGGGGCTTCTATTTGGGAGGTCAGCAGTTCCCTCCTCCTGAGTGACAGGAGGCAGGTAATTCTTGCTGGGCCTGGGTTAAGATGCTCCAGCCCACACAAAGGGGAAATTAATTTGTGTGGGATTTGCCCATTGATTTGCATGAGATCTGCGTATTGATTTGTGTGCAGATTTGCATATAGATTTACACATATATTTGCATGGGATTTGCATGTACTTGAGAGCCATCTTGACCTCCGCCATCACCCTCACCTTCAGGTCGATGTCTCGAACCCACTTGAGCACCCGCTGGTTGGTCCACACCACGGGGTCAATGTTCTGCGTCTCGCAGCGGGCCCGGCGCTCCTGGAGGGCCTTGTGGGGAGACAGTGGATCACTTGGAGGGACAAGGGTTCACACAGAGGCCATGTGTGGAATGGGGGCTCCCTGAACCTGTTTTTTCCCCCAAGACAGAGTCTTGCTCTGTCACCCAGGCTGGAGTGCAGTGGTGCGATCTCTGCTCACTGCAACCCCCACCTCCTGGGTTCAAGCAATTCTCCTGCCTTAGCCTCTCGAGTAGCTGGGATTACAGGCACCAACCACCACGCCAGGCTACTTTCTTTTTGTATTTTTAGTAGAGATGGGGTTTTACCAAGTTGGCCAGGCTGATCTCGAACTCCTGACCTTGTTTATGATCTACCCAGCCTGGCTTCCCAAAGTGCTGGGATCACAGGTGTGAGCCACCAGGCCCGGCCCCTGCACTTCTTTTTACATGTAACTGCTATGATGTCCCACGTATGCCTCCTTGGCAGACTGGGGACCGAGGCCAGGGCCCGTGTCCTTGTCACTCCCTGTCCTCAGTGTGGCATGGGGAAGGCACTGCTGCTGTCCTCGCTCCAAAAACAGGAAACTCTGACTTTGCCCAGAGCCACACAGTGGCACGTCTTGGGGTCTGAATGAAAACCCATGTTTGGCTGATTCCAAGTCCTCTCTCACCACCCCGCCGCCATATCACAGGCTTCCCTGGGTCCCACAGGGACTGACCCCAGTGCACACAGTAGGTACACAGCAAATGCTTTTCAGTTGGTGTTTGAGAAGGGGGACAAAGGGCCGGAGGGTCCCCTCTTCTGTCCCTCTTCTGCCCCTGTATTGTTGGGCTCTGACATCACTCTAAGAAAAGTCAGCTACCTGGACTACCAGCCCCACAGCTCAGGCCCCTGGTGACCTCTGCAGCAACCCGCACCACCTCCCACCTGAAAGCCAGCACCCCACCCAATGGGACTCTCAGCAAGTCTGCTGCCACGGATCACTCCTCCGGGCCTTCCCCACGCTGTTCCCTCTGCTGAGCTGCTTTTCCCCTCATGTCTTCTACTGATCCCTGGGGTTCCTCCTTCGGGTCTTGATTTAGTCGTTGCTATCTCTGGGGAGCCGTCCCTGAGCCTGCTGGAGGCTGCTTCTCTGGGTTTTCTTTTTTCTTTCCTCTTTTTTTTTTTTTTAAACAGCAAACACTTAAAATTTTTTTATTTTAATTTTTGTGGGTATACATAGTATGTGTATCTTTCCTGGGTATTCATAAAGCCCTGGGCTTCCCTCATGGGGACAATCTCCCACAATATTGGCACCACCAGCTTCCTTGTGGTTCTCTCTGGTAAGCTGTTAGCTCTCCAAGGATGAGGGCTCCCATTTCCCCTGCACTGAGCACAGTGTCTGGCCCGCGCCCAATAGGGGGTTGTTGGAAAGAAGGAGGAAGAGAAGATGGCTGGCTGGCTGGCTGGATGATGGATGGATAGGTAGATGGATGGACAGATGATCAATAGACCCTGGATGGTTGGATGATGGATGGATAGGTAGATGGATGGACAGATGATCAATAGACCCTGGATGGCTGGATGATGGGTGGATGGGTGGACAGATGGATAGATGGGTGGTGGGTGGACAGATGGATAGATGGGTGGTGGGTGGACAGATGAACAGACAGTAGATGCCAAGGGGGGAGGGACGGGCAGTGGAAGGCACCCCTGCCCCGCGCCCCGGTCCTCACCTCCCTGCTGAAGTTCACTTGGTACAGCAGCTCGATCCCCAGCAGGATGCTGACCTGGTGGAACTTCTTGGACACATTCAGGTGCTTCTCCAGGTCTCGCTTCATCAGGGAATTCAGCATCCGCCCATCAACCAGGTGGTTCTGGAAGGCCTGGGAGTACTGGGACAGGCCGATGTCATTCAGCCAGGCCTTGGCCACCCAGTGATGATCCAGCTCGGCAGCTTTGGACAGGCTGAGGAGGAGACACAGCCAGAGAGTGGATGGGTGGGGAAAGGCAGCAGAAACAAAGGGACTGGCAGAGATGGGTGGAGATGCAGAGAGAGGAAAAGCAATGGGGTGGGGGGAGTACCAAGAGATCCACAGAGACAGACATGGACAGGGATGGAGCCGAGAGATCAAGAGGGAAAAAGGATAAAAAAAAGAGACAGAAAGAGCAGAGATGGGGAGAGAGGTGGATGGAGGAGGGAGACGGAGAGAGAGAAAGAGACACAGAAAGAGAGAATAAAGAGAGAAAGAGACAGAGAAGAAGAGAGAGAGACATTGAGAGAAAGGAGCAGAGGGAGATAAAGAAGAACCAAGAAGAAGAGGTAGAGAGAGAGAGAGACCGAGACTCAAGAACAGAAGGGGATCAACAGAGAAACAAACTGAAGGGAACAGGAAGAGAGAATCTCACACACAGACACAGCGAGGGTGAGAAGGCGCAGGGGCGGGGAGCAGAAGGGCCATGTGTGGTGGGAGGCAGCACGTCTGGGGACCCCGCTCCTCCACCTAAGCCCCTCTCATTTCCCTGGGGGCCTCCACAGCATCCCCAAGACCCACAAAGCCTGGGCTTGGCCCACCTGATTGGTGCATCCCTCCCCAGTGCTCTGTGGTCTGTTTTCCTGTTTCGGGGATGTTGGATGTCCACTCAGGTGGGCCAGGCAGGTCCTAATCATGCGTGAAGAAGGCAAAGCTGCCGTCCTCGCTCTACAGATGGGATGTTCTGACTTTGCCTAGAGCCACACAGTGGCCCATCTTGGAGTCAGAATTAAAGTCCACGTTTGACTGATTACAAACCCTCTCTCTTACCACTGCACTGCCAGGTCTCAGATTTCCTTGTGCCCCACATAGAAATGACCCCTGTACCGGCCAGGCGCAGCGGCTCATGCCTGTAATGCCAGCACTTTGGGAGGCCGATGCGGGCAGATCACGAGGTCAGGAGATCGAGACCATCCTGGCTAACACAGTGAAACCCCGTCTCCTACTAAAAAAATAACAAAAATTAAGCCAGGCATGGGTGGCGGCCGCCTGTCGTCCAGCTACTCGGCGAGGCTGAGGCAGGAGAATGGCATGCAACCTGGGAGGTGGAGGTTGCAGTGGAGCTGAAGATCCCACAACTTGCACTCCGCCTGGGCAACAAGCGAGACTCTCTCTCAAAAAGAAGAGAAAAAAGAAAGAAAGAAAGAGAAGAAGAAAAGAAAAAGAAAAAGAAAGAAAGAAAGAAAGAAAGAAAGAAAGAAAGAAAGAGAGAAAGAAAGAAGAGAAGAAAGAAAGAGAAAGAAAGAAGGAAGGAAGAAGGAAAAGAAGGAAGGAAGGGAGGGAGGGAGGGAGGAAGGAAGGAAGGAAGGAAGGAAGACCCCTGTACCACGTATACAGCAGGTGCACAAGTGCTTGAATTTTCAAGCGGGTGAAAGTGTGGCTGTGCCTGGCTGTCATTCCGCTGCTGGCCACACAGTGGCAGCCTTGCAGAAGGAAGGAGGGTCACCACATCCCACCTGCAAGGGACTTTGCAAAATGCCCCAGGTCTGACAGGTGGGAGAGCGTTGGTCTAAGTGGGAGGTGCAGGGGGCCACGAAGGGACAGTGGTGTATGTGAAAGGGACAGTGGTGGGCTCGCAAAGCCACTCCATCCTCCTCCTGGGGCAGCAGCCAGAGACAGCTGGTCACGCCACCCTCCTGCTGAGGGTCTTGGGTGGGTCCTCTCTGTCCTTCCTGCCTTCATGCCTGGATATGCATTGAGCCTCCTGTGATCACCCTGCTGGAGTACATGCTGCCATACAGTGGGCTCCTCTTCCCTCCTAACCCCCTCCCCTCTTTCTCCAGGCACTCCTGTCTCTGTATTACCCGTCTCCAAGGCTCTGGAAGGCACCCTTGAGGGAGGACTCCCAAATTCTCCACTCTCTTCTGAGCATCTAAGCTCTGGGATCTTTTCTGAGCTCCTCTTTCCTCTCTTAGCCTCTAGCTGCCCTCTTAACGCCGCCTGGCTGTCACAGACATGTCATACTTAATGGCTCAGTTGTTCCCCTTCACTGTCAGTGTCACCATCACCCAGAGGCCCTTCTCTGTCACCCAGCTCCCAAGCTGATAGCCCGTCCTTGTCTATCGGTCACTCTGGTCAGTGCATCCTCCGTCCCCTTCTCTCCTTTTCCAGCTGTAGGCTGCAGCCATCTCTGGTGTGGGTTTCTGCCACTGTCCCCGGCCGTCCCCCATTTCCCACCTTTGCTTTCCTTCTATTCCACACCCCACCAGGACCGCCAGGGGGTCCTTTAAAAATGTCAGCCTGATCCTGCAGTGCCCTGCTTAACACTCTGTGGCTTCTCTTTGCAGGAATAAAATCGCAAGTCCTTTGAGTGGCCCACAAGGGTCACCCGCGAACGGCCCTGGCTGACTTCCCCTCCCCCAATGCACATGGGGCTTGGGCTCCTGGGGGCTATTTCCTGGAGGCACAGAGCTCTTCACCCCGCATTCCCCTCCCTGGTCCGGCTCCTCCCAGCCCTGCCCAGGGCTCACCCCTCCTCATCCCTTGGGCGTCCAATCTCCCTTTTCTCTGAATTTGCTGTCTTAAGTTGCCCCCAAGTCTGCTCACTGTCCCTAGTGCTTTCCTTCAAAGCTCTAATCACACATTGAATCTTAGCAATTAACTGGTTTGGCCACTAGTTTATTTTCTGTCTTTCCCACCTTAGCAGATAAGCTCTGTCAGGACAGAAACTGTGTTCATTGCCCAACAGCACAGTGCTACGCGCACACTAGACACTGATTGAATGCTTGCTGGAAGAATGGCTAAGCGGAGGATGGGCTTGCAGCTTGGTTTCACTCTCCTTCCCTCTGCCCATCAGCCTCCCAGAACCACTTGGGTCTGCCAGACTCCCCTTGTCTCCGGGCCTGTTCTCTACCCCACCCTATTTCTCCGGTGAACTCCTATGGACTCTGCAGACACGTCTGGGCTCCTAGAAGCCTTCCAAGACGTCATGCTGGGTCAGGAGCCCTTCTCTGTGCTGAAAGCCCCTGGGAGTCCCCATCCCTGGACCAGTCACATTGTAGTTCATGGTTACGCATCTGGCCAGCTGTCTCACTGGGTGGTCAGTTCCTGGCGGGCAGGACTCGGGGTTGGCTTATCTGTGAATGTCCAGGGTCCCTTCAGGCTCAGAGTTCACACTCACCAGTGTTTGTCTCATAGTTGAATGTGTGGATGACAGAGCAGGGCTGGGTGAGCAGGTCATCTACCCCAGTCCACCTGGAGGCTGCCCAGCTGGAGCTCCTGAACTGGAACCTTCTGGTCCAAGACTACCTCCCTTCTAGGATGAAAAGGTCCTGGGGCTGTCCCCCTCCCAGTCCCTCAAGGGCCAGCCTCAGCCTTGTACAGAAGGACCCTTCTCTCGGGCAGGAGTTGGAGCCCACAGCCCTCTGAGTCAGATGCCACTGGGCCAGGTTTGATGGAGACTAGAATGGCCTCCTCTCCTTTCTGAGGCAAGAGTTTGGTCAGCAAATCAATGGTGCAACAAGAGTTGCGGTGGAGAGCTGGGGAGGGGACACCCCACCTAACCTACTCAAGAGAGGCCCATCCATAATCAGCAATCTCCATCTGCGTGCCCACAATTAATGTGCTCCTGCCCTTCAGAAATGTTCTCTTTTCATTAATGGTGTCCCCATGGGGCCTCAGCTTGGTGATATGTTCCCAGCTGTTGGTTTGAGCTATTTATTGTAAGAGCCCAAGTTGAATAAAACAGCATGATTTTAAAAGGAATTCAGACATTTTATAAAATTTGTCACTGCCCCGTCCCTAGACTGGAGCCAGATTAGACTCTGAAATCTGAAAACAGGCGCAAAATTTAGATATTGTCTGGGTCACAGCACAGCACGGAAAACAGGAGGCTGTTCTGGTTCTATTACTTTTTAGCTCTGGGACCTTAAACCTCTGGGTCTCCGTTTTCTCCTCTGTAAAGTGGGGAGAATCGTGCTTGCCTCATGGAGTTGTAAAGACTAAAAGAGAGGAGAATGCGAAGCCCTTAACACAGGGTCTGGGACACACCTAGAGTTCCATAAACAGTAGTAATAGAAGCTGTCACTGTTCTTGTTTTTAACACAAAGGCAGCACGGGATACTGGAAAGGCAACTGACTTTGAAGTCAGGTTTTTTGTAGTGTGACTTTATGCTCATGATTTCTCTACATCTAATTTTCGCCAACTTTATTTTTGAGACGGAGTTTTGCTCTTGTCACCCAGGCTGGAGTGCAATGATGCAGTCCCGGCTCACTGCAACCTCTGCCTCCTGGGTTCAAGTAACTCTCCTGCCTCAACCTCCTGAGTAGCTGGGAATACAGGTGCCCACGACCATGCCTGCCAATTTTTGTATTTTTAGTAGAGACGGGGTTTCACCATGTTGGTTAGGCTGGTCTTGAGCTCCTGATGTCAGATGATCCACCTGCCTCAGCCTCCCAAAGTGTTGGGATTACAGGCGTGAGCCATCGTACCCAGCCTTCTGCGTCTTTAAAATGGGAGTAAGCATGTCTATCCTGCATTGATGTTGTGAGGTAAATAAAATGGTATCCATAAGAGGATGATGGGTTGGCAAGGGGTTGGTGGGTTTTGTCATTGATATTTTGTAGATAAGGTGACCAGTCCCAGAGAGGAAAACATCCTGCCCATGGTCACACAAGATGTCATGGCTGAAAATGGTCTCAAAGATGAACTCATTTAGAGTTCTTACCCCCAAGTCCACGGACCCCTGAAAGTGGGTGGGCCAGAGTCCCACCCACCAACCCAATGCAGTGAAAAGTTGTGAAGTTTTGTGTATTTCTTCTAGAGAAAGTGTCAAAAGCACTTATTAGATTCTTAAAGTGGCCATGATCTTCAAAAGTTTAAAAACCACTGTCCTAATTTAACTCTGTTCACTTCTCAGGTGGGAAAACAGTCCCAGAGAGGGCAAGGTCATGTGGCAAACTGGAGACAGGCCAGATTCCCACTGGGAATAGAAAACTTGAAATAAGGCCTCTGCCTCCTCCAGGAAGCCCTACGGGTGTCTAAGGGCTAGGCTCCATGATCCCTGGGACCACAGACTCCTGGTTCCTGGAGGTTAACAGGGTGCCACTGTTAGGGATTAAAAGTTTCCCTCCGCCCTCCCCCTCCCCAATTCATATGCTGAAATCCTAACCTTCAGTGTAATGGTATTTGGGTCTGGGGCCTTTGGGAGGTGATTAGATGAGGTCATAGGGGTACTCTTCTTGATGGGATTATTGTCCTTACAGGAAGAGATCAGAGACATCACTCTCTCCCCATCCCCCTTCCTTCTTCCCCATGTGAGGACACAGCAAGAAGGTTGCCTTCTGCAAGCCAGGAAGAGAGCCCTCCCCAGGTCCCAACCACGCTGGCATCCTGATCTTGGACTTCCAGCATCCAGAACTGTGAGACATAAGTTGTTGTCTAAGCAACCCAGGTGGTGGGATTTTGTTGTGGCAGCCCAAGCAGACTAAGACAGCCCCGTTTAGGGGGAACCCAGGCAGTAGCCCAGACTCCTCAAGTTTTCGAGAGGTGAAGCAGTCATCCCCACCCTGTTCAATGAACACAGGTAGTGTTTATGGACCCTGCTGGTTGTGGGGCAAGGGGGCAGGAGGGATTTCCAACTTGGGTGACCAAAGACGATGAGGGGATTCGGGGATGGCTTTAGGGGATTCTGGCATGGAACTGGTTAGGAGGTGGGCGCTGAGTGTAAGGTGCTTTTGGGACCCTCAGGAGGGACAGCCCAGCAGGGGTTGCCCTCATGGCCCCCTCCTCATCCCTCAGCCCAGCCCTGTCTCAGACGAGCCAGCGTCCTGATGGTGCCAATGAGGCCTGGCGCCGTCTTGCTCTGAGTTGCTCCCTAACTTTCTGATCCCGTCTCACCTCAGTACTTCCTGCCACCCTAGAGTCATGCCAAGGGCCCCTCTCCTGCACACATATGGATTTGGTTTTCCTGCTTCCAAACCAGCCGATTTTCCACTCCAAACCCTGTTTCTAAAAAAAAATCCCCTAAGCTGCTTCTGCAAATTATAGCACACACCACCAGGTTTGATTAATTAACTACACAAAAATGATGGAGAAACCAGTGAAGGATGTAATTATGCAAAACAGAAGTGTCAGATTTACAAAGCAAGTTCCTCCCCTCTCCACATTCTCGAAGGGGGTGAGGCGGCGTGGGGGTGGGGGTTCCTTCCCTTTACCCTGTAGCTGCCCCTGCTCTACAAATTTTGCTCACAGAGTGTCGGGAGAGAGGCAGGCAGGCGGGACGCAGAGCAGGAGTGGTATGAGAGGTGGGGGTGGGTGGCCTGCAGGGGTACACCTGATGGGAAGGCCCTGCGTCCACTCCCAGGTATGCTTGCTAAGAGAAGCCCCCTCCGCCCGGCCCGCTCCTCTATGGGAGAGGTTTCACTAAGCCCGCTCATGTCTACTTGATCTCTGCCTGCCTCGGCTCTGCCTTGCACCGTCTTTCCTCACTCTGGAATGGTAAGAGCCAGGAGCAGACACCGTTGCGGCCCGGTGTGCAGAGCCGCTTGGGCTGGTCCCGGGAGACAGAGGAGTGCTGGGGGGCTTGTGAGGCTCCCGCATTGGTTGCGGGTGTACTTGGGCCTTTGGGGCCTCTGGTCTTCCCCATGTGTCTGTCTCTCTACGGACCGGGCTGGCCCAGAGCAGGGCTGGGGTGTGCCCAAGTCCCTTCATCGGGGCATCCCCAGACCATCTTAGTCACACCCTGATGTCCCCCACCACCAGCCCAGCCCATAGTGCCCTGCTCACCCAACCTGTGTGACCAAAGGCCTCAGGATGACTTTTCTCCCTCCTCCCTTGGGGCCCCTCATGGTGGGCTCACCTGCGGCCTGCCTCGGCGTCACGGTAGTCCTCGATCGCCAGGCGCAGCTTGCGCCGGTGCAGAGAGCTGCATACACCCAGGCCCAGCTGCAGATCCTCGTCACTCAGGCTCAGCAGCACCTGCCCCCCGGGGAGAGAGTGTCATATGGGGGCTGGGACAGCTGCCAGCAGGGTTCCTGCCCTAGAGGGGGTCTGTTGGCCTGGGGTTCTTTCGCCATCTCCTGCCCACCTTTCATACAGTGGTGCCAGTGCACGTGAAAACCTCTGCAACTCTGACGTGGGGCAGAATCCCTGTTCAGGCAGAAAGAGCCCTTTCCCTTTGGCAGGTAAAGGATGCTTGGGTCCCTTTTCAGGATGAGGCAGCTGAGGCTCAGAAAGGCTCTCTGCCTTGCCAGGGAGGCACAATGATTGAGGAGGGACATCGGAGACCGACTGCATTGGCTAGCTCCTAGATTGCACCTTCCCCTGACTCCAGGGTAGGAGTGGGGGGCAGGCCAACTTCCGGGTGCATAAAGTTCACAGAGGGCGTGGGGGGAGTCTCACAGGGGGCCCGGAGTTGCCTACCTTCCCGCTTTTCACGTTCTCCGCGCAGGCCTTGACGTACATAGGCATGGCCATCACCACCTCCAGCCAGGCCTGGACGGTGCCCGCCTTCCAGTGGGACATAGGGGTGGTCCTCACCAGCTCCACCTGCTGCAGCCGGTCCATCTGCTCCTCGCCTTCCGACAGGCTGAGGCTCTGCCTCGTGGGGCTGCACTGGCTGTCCGAGTCTGCAACACACAAGTGCAGGCCATGTTGGGGGGTGAGGTTGCCGGGGGGCAGGGGCTGGGCAGGCCGCACCCCCGGGAGGCAGAGGACGGTGGGGACGTCCTCCCGCCATGCATTTCTTCTCTTCAAAATCAAAGTGGTTTTTGGTGTTTTTGTTTTTCTGCCCTTGTCCCCATTACAAAAGTAGTCTATGAAAAGAAAAGCAGAAAAGCTTATCCCAGAAAAAAAATAAAACAGAAAATGACGATCACCTCATGTGACTGTGAAAGGAAAACAGATCTTGGGACCCCAAACTCATCAAGCCACAGGGAAAAGTCAAGCTGGGAACTGGGTCACACAAACCTGCCTCCCCGTTTTGGTTCCTAAATAAGATGGCTACAAGATGAACAGCTGCACACCTCCCTCAGATTTTGCCCACAAGGAAATTCCTAGTGAGCTTCGAGATATTTACCCTAAAGCATTTCTGTTAAAATTCACCATGGCAATATAAATGGATAGCTTATCTTTACACAGTATTCACCCCTCTGCTCACCTGGCACAAATGCATATCTGATTATTCCCCTGTCCCATTTATCTTTATCTTATGTAAAAACGTCAATTCCCTGCATTTTCCGCATCTGTCTATGTTACCTTATGTAAAAATGCAGATTCACTGGGCCAGACAAAGGCATGAATGATTATTTCCCCCACCCCCCTCTTACATGAAACTGTATACTTCTCAATATCCTTTCCCCTTTAAATTTGGAGCCCACAAAATCATCTTCGGAGAAAGGCATAGACCTGTCTCCCGGGCGCGCGTCCTTAACTTTGATAAATACACCTCCTAAAATGACTGAGACCTGTCTCATCGTTTCTCTCGATCGACACCACCTAGAGACAGCAGCTGTTAAATACTCTTTGGGATACAGAAAAGCCATACTTACAAACACACACAGACCCGCTTGCTTCCGGGGTGCGTGCATTTGAGGTGTGTGCATTTGTGATACGCCTGTTCACTTTCGCTGTGGAAGAGATCGTTCCATCTCCATAGAGACCTGCGGTACCTTTGGACGGTGCAGGATTCATCAGAAGGAGGCTCCATAATTTATGTCACCTGCCTCCTACTGATGGACATGGAGGTTGTTTCCAATTTTTCACTATTGTAAACAACACAGCGGCCGTCATCTTTGGGCAACTGGGTGATTTATTTTTGTAGGATAAATGGAACCCAGCTCCATTCCTTCATACACTGAAAGCTGTTTCTGGAATGGCCCTCACAGACCAAAAAAAAAAAAAAAAAGTTCATCCACTAACATTTTCTAACCCCACTCTTCTATATATGGTTGGTTGCATCAACGCCTGGTAAATATGCAAAGTTCACGTTATGGAGACTCAATTGAGAGGCAAAAAGAATCTCTCTAAAACAGGGTTCAATAAAAACCTAAACAAGCCAGGTGCGGTAGCTCACGCCTGTAATCCCAGCACTTTGGGAGGATGAGGTGGGCAGAATGCTTGAGTTTCAGGAGTTTGAGATCAGCCTGGGCAACATAGTGAAACCCCATCTCTACCAAAAATACAAAAAAATTAGCCGGGTGTGGTGGCGTGTGCCTGGGGTCCCAGCTGCTCAGGAGGCTGAGGCAGGAGGATCTTTTCAGCCAGGGAGGAGGAGGTTACAGTGAGCCAAGATCATACCACTGCACTCCAGCCTGGGTGACAGACTGAGACCTCATCTCAAAACAAAACAACAAAACAAAACAAAATAAAACAAACACACACCCAAACAGACCAACTCAATACCTTGAGAAATGACAAGTATTTAAATATACCTCTGATTGACCGGGCACTGGGGCTCTCATGCCTGTAATCCCAGCACTTTGGGAGGTTGAGGCGGGTGGATCACCTGAGGTTGGGAGTTCGAGACCAGCCTGACCAACATGGAGAAACCCCATCTCTACTAAAAATACAAAATTAGCCTGGGTGGTGGCACGTGCCTGTAATCCCAGCTATTTGGGAGGCTGAGGCAGGAGAATCGCTTGAACCCGGGAGGCGGAGGTTGCGGTGAGCCGAGATCGCGCCATTGCACTCTAGCCTGGGCAACAAGAGTGAAACCCTGTCTCAAAAAAAAATAAATTACAAAAATGAACAAAAAAAACCCTCTGATTAGAAATGACCCTGCTGAAATTGAATATTATAAATCATTACAAGGATGTAAAAAAATGCTTATCCATCCAAATAGACAGGACACAAAATTAAAATGATAGGTAAATACAAATGTTCATAGTTAACTGCCTTTGTGTGCTGGGGAGAATATAGTTATTTTCTTCTTGTTGTATGTCTCTGTATTTTCAAAGTTCCCTAGTAAACATGTATAGTTTTATAATAAAAACTTTGGAAAAATTAAAAACTAGGAAGCAATATGAACGGTTATTGATGAGAGTTTGTTTGAAGGAATGACACTGCATTCATATGTTGGAATATATGCAATGAATAAAAACTCTTGTCATGGGAGAATAATTTTGTGGGGAAAATGTCCACTACCGATTGCCAAATGAAAAAGGAAAACACGGCCGGGCACAGTGGCTCATGCCTGTAATCCCAGCACTTTTGGAGGCAGGTGGATTGCAAGGTCAGGAGATCGAGACCATCCTGGCTAACACGGTGAAACCCCATCTCTACTAAAACTACAAAAAATTATCTGGGTGTGGTGGCACACGCCTGTAGTCCGAGCAACTTGGGAGGCTGAGGCAGGAGAATCGCTTGAACCTGGGAGGCAGAGGTTGCAGTGAGTCGAAATTGTGCCACTACACTCCAGTCTGGGTGACAGAGCAAGACTCCATTGCAAAAAAAAACAACAACAACAACAAAAACACAGCAGGCACAGTGTAACTCTGACTGTGGTTTAAAAATTATATGTAGATGTAAAGTGTATAATTATTATATATACGTGTATGTGTATACAATACACTAGATGGATAAAATCTAGTATATAAAAATATATAAAGTACTAGATGGATCAACAGGAAAAGTCTGTCTCTGGAAAGCAGTGATAGGTCATTGTGCGAGTGTGTGTGTGAATGTGCATGTGTGAGTGTGTGAGAGGATTTGTGACTGTGTGCATACTTTTCTGTCTCCCAAGTTTTCTGCATAGACTGTATTATGTTTGATGTGGAGAAAAAAGATAGCCTAGAAATCTCACTTTTTCAAGTTACAAACTCCCTCCCCACAACGCCTTCCCTCTCTCCATTTTAAACTCCCTGAGGGACTCTTTGAAAAGGGTTGCATCCACTTGGTGACCACACACTCATCCATCATTCCCATCTCCACCAAAACCTATCTCCCAAACACCTTGTGCCTCAGTTTCCCCCTGTGTAAAGCTGACCCGGTACTGTTCTCTGCTGCCTGCCTCCTCTGTGGGCTGCTGTGAGGACTCAGCGGGGGGCAGTGTGACAGGGCTGTCCGTGTTGGGACAAGTACAGGTTGAGAGGTCACTGCCAACATTATCATGTTTCCCTTCTCAGTGGCCCCAAGCCCTTTGTTTTTCCCAAGGAAATGGCAGAGGTTGCAGAGAGCTCTGTGCGGGTTGCCCGTTTGAGTGACCTCCTGTTGCCATGGTGCCCAGGAATGCGGAAACGGCAGCAGCTCCCTCTGCAACCCCACCAGGGCCCCAGGTTCCTGCCAGTGACAGGGCTGTCAGGCCAGGGGTGCAGGCCGGCGCCCAGTGCTGGTGCCCGGCTCCCAAGGACCGGTGTGGCTTGCAGGGAAGTCTTTCAGATCAGGCACAGGACTCCAAGTTCTATAGGGATTGGAACAGGCACTGAAACAGGGCATCCTTCCTGGATGGGAGAGAGCTGAGAGCCCCCAGGAGGCCTCCAGCATGGCTGGCTTTACTGCATCTTATTCCGCTTGCTGAGTCTCACCTCTGTTATGTGCTTCTGGGAAAAGGAGAGGTGACGTGTGGCCAAATCTGGTTACCCAAAGTTCCAAGACACGGCCCATGTCGTCCATTTGGACCAGGCTTTGGAGTTCAACAGACCTCAGCTTCAGGCAGATTTCTTGAAGCCTCCGTTTCTCCATATATAAAATGGAAATAATGAGAATATCTGCCTTGTAGCTTGAAATGAATGTTATAAACTCTGAATGCGAAGCTATGGGAGTGTGAAAGTTGTAGATACCAGGATGAAATCACTTTTGTCAGAACCAGAAGAATTAGAGCCGGGAAAGCACGAAGGAGGGGAACTCATGCTTGCATGTCTGAGATAAGGACTGTCTCAAGGACTTTCTAAAATAGCCCCCAAGAAATGCCTTCTTTGGAACTGCAGCAATTCAGATAAGATGTTCTCCAAAGAACACTGCCCAGTAACGACATCTCCACCAATGAACTGACGCCAACTCTAGCGTTGAGCCTCCAGAGCCAATGAAGTCTGTTTCCAAGCAGCTTATGTGAACTTCTCTCTCTCTCTCTTTTTTTTTTTTGCCAATAAAAGCTTCCCTTTGCTGTCCCCTCTCCAGATGCACCTATAGCTTGCCACGGCTATGCTTCCAGAGTCTAATCCATTTTGCTTACTCCCAAATACATTCATCATATAGGAGGTATTTTTTCTGATGTCTCTTTTTTCAGGCTGACAGTAGGCACTTAGTCAAGGCTGGCTATTGTTGGCAATAAGGGCCCCCCCTCCTGGGGCCTGGACACTGTTTGGCCACACCTAGAGTTCAGCTGCAGCCGCCTCCTTCCCACTACATTCCTGGCTGCAGCTTCGGTGCCTTCAGAGGGAAGAAGTTCTCCTGGTTGTCCAGTCTGGCAGGGCAGAAATTCACTGTCCCTGTTGGACTCCTACCTGGTCGAGGTGGGAGGGGTGGGGCTCTCAGTGAGGTGAGGGTGGATCTGTCTGTTCTGTGCCCAGGTGGGTGGGTGGGGGGTGTCTGCAGCCCTTGACTACGTCTCCCAAGAAAGGCAGCTAAAGGGGCCTGGGAAGGAGAGAAAGGAGATGGGAGCAGAAGTTGGCACCTGCTCCTGAGTCCCCCA